GAAAATGTTGTTCTAAGCTACTGTCCTGTCTGCAAGTGGTGTTACCAGCAGCTAAGTAAGGCTGGGCCTGGTGCGTTTTGAGAACAGAGACCTTTAAGGAACACTAGGTTGCTTCTTTAACTGTGGTTGAACTCTTTCCTGTGGACCAGAACTTCTAAACTAATTCCCTAGCATGGTGATAGTGGAAATAGTGCTGTCTTTTTGACTAGACAGTGAACTGATGTTCTGGTTGCCTGATCATTAAAGCTCTCATGGCACAGTAAGAGTAGGGCTGTTCCCTCCTATGTCCTGGCTAAGTTTCAGTTTGGGTTTGTGTAACCTGGCTTCCCTATTGTGGATGAAGTGTAAAAATGCAAAGATAGCAACGGACAGGAATTTGTAGCAGGAAATGAAAAGGCTGAATCTTCTCAGACTCCAAAATCTGTAGATGGGTGAAATCTCATGTGGGGTTTGTAAATGTACAGTCGTGCAGTTTTGTACTGCACACAGCTGAAAACATTGTTCATTCATTGTTTATTCCTAATTGACTGATCACATTAGTAACATAACATCACATCACTTTATTAGCCCTATACAATTTCTTGCATTAGGAATTCATCTTTTTGCATACCCCAGCTTGCTCTCCATGAGACAAACAGACAGGGAGAGGAGCTTGGGGTCAGAGCGCAGGGCCAGCCATTGTACAGCACCCCTGGAGCAGTTGGGGTTAAGGGCCTTGCTCAGGGGCCCAACAGAGTAGGATTCCTCTGCCAGCTGTGGGATTTGAACTGGCAACCTTCCAGCCACAGGCGCAGATCCTTAGCAACAGAGCCACTGCTCTGCCCAGTAGCGGAGTAGCCTTTCATCTGTTGCTGTAGGGTGATAAAGAAATGTGTGTGCAGGTTTGTTACACAAGTGAACAGCTTTCTTCTGCATCTTCCTGTCACTTTTATTAAGATAGAGTGCCAGTCACTCGTTTCCCATTCTTAATTGAATCATCAACAACCTCGTGACAGACCAACCTAAGCAAAGTAAAACGTTTGTCCCTTAACATGAGAACTTGAGTCAATATGCCAATTCAAACACTCTGAAAACTCACTTTTTTCAAATAAAA